GTATCCACTCATCCAATGATGGACATTTGGGCTGGTTCCAACTCTTGGCTATTGTAAAGAGTGCTGCAATGAACATTGGGGAACAGGTATACCTTCGACTTGATGATTTCCATTCCTTTGGATATATTCCCAGCAGTGGGATAGCTCGGTCATATGGCAGATCTATCTGCAATTGTTTGAAGAACCTCCATACCATTTTCCATAGATGCTGCACCATTTTGCAGTCCCACCAACAATGTATGAGAGTTCCTTTTTCTCCGCAACCTCGCAAGCATTTATCGCTCAGAGTCTTTTGGAGTTTAGCCATCCTAACTGGGGTGAGATGGTATCTCAGTGTAGTTTTGATTTGCATTTCCTCAGATCTAATCTCTTAATAAAAAAGTTTCTTTAGATGGTTTCAATCATAAAAATAATGCTGAAAAGTTCCTAGTAGGATGCTAATAGTAAAGAGTAAATTTAAAATTGTGCAGGGACTACTAAAGAATCATTTATTCCTATTTATTTCAAATAACCTGTTTTTCCTCAGCTTAGAAATAAAGATAGAAACCAAAAGCATGCCATTGTGAAATTATGAAGTTGAATTAAACAGTATTTGGGTCAAATCTCAAAATTCCATTTCTGTAGGGGAATTAGAAGAGATATCAAAAGGGAAAAAAAGCAAAAAAGGAAAAGAGAGCAATAACACAGAGCCACAGGCACATTTATTTACATGTATGTAAATGACCACAAATACAACCTGGATAAGCTCTAGTACTTGCTTATCTAAATTAGAAATAGGGGCAAAAGCAAATTTCTAAGAATGGGGAATGGTCTAACAGGGAGAAGCTGCCAAAAACTACAGGCGTCTTTACTGTCCTGTCCTGCACTCCACGGATCTGTACTCTACAGCTGTTATCACTGTGTGATGGAGATCTCCATGCTGTAAGGCCAATAACACAGTGCTATGTGTATTCGCATGTTTTGCATATGCAATTACCTGAACTAAATATTCTCGAGGAAGCAAAGGTAACCGAACATGTTCCATCAGCCGAGCCATAAACTCTTGCCTCACATCCTTGTCATGGTTCACCCAAGCTATTACTGCTTCAAATACCTTGCAGAAAATATGGGGAAAGGAAAAATAAGTAATGAGTTATGTACCAAGGCATCTGGATAAAATATGATGAGACTACGTTTTACATACAGCTCTTGCTAAAACATCCAAGTTTAATCTAGGGCTTCAATTTTTTTAAAATCCTGACTTGCAATGTACTTAGAAAGCCATTCACTCCATTTCTTTCTTTTTTTTAATATTTTATTTAGTTAGTACTTTATAAGTAAAATCTTTAGTACTGTAGTGTTTTTAGTAAGTACTTTTCATTTGGTATTTATGAAGCATTTTACCAATATATTATCTAATCTTATTTATCTTGAATGGTAGGTGTGATAATTCAGTGATATAGGAACTATTTCACTGTTGATAACCTTTCCAAATTGAATGTAGTTCTACTTAATGCAGACTTAAATCTCAAGTCTCTTTGGAATAAAGCACCCAAAATAATAAAGCAAAGTGATTTTCTAGAATGAAAATTATGTACCCTTATGAACAACCCATTTTTGGCTTTTCCTTTAGGTTTACAAACAAATATTGGACCACACACTTACAAATCAAGGGTTTACAGAACAGATTAACTCTGCTCTTTCACAAGAGTAGAAAATATTAAATGTAATATGTTGAAATTTTTTTTACAAGCTAAGTAAACAGGGCATTACTATTTATATACCTATGAGAAAGCTAATAAACTAATAATGAAGACAGTGTTTGTCTACATAATTTCCTTCCAGACTGATGAATATATCACCTGTAATCTTTAAAAGGTTGAAGAAAATGTTTGACAATACGCAAATGGATTATTGGGAGCAAAAATAGGTTATTCTGATACAGGAATAGAGCAAGAAACTAAAAATAATGCACATTATAATTAATATCCCTCCTTAATTTATTCCATCAACAAGTATTTATCAAGCACCTCAGTGTGCCTAGAGATAAGGAAGTGAACAAGACAGTCTGCATTCTATCAATTCTATCTACTATTCCTCAGTTGTCTTCTCTCCACCCCTGCTTCTACTGTCCTACATCAGATCCTGCTGTTCACTGGCATGATTTCAACATCCTCCTGTCTGGTCCTCACCTCACTTTTGGTCCATTCTGCACATCACCAAGACAGCCAGTCTCCAAAGATGGGCTCCTAATAAACTACATCTCCTGGGACCCACACCCTTACCTAATAACTTTGCAAACTGAATCTAAGCTGACACTGTATAACCAATAGAGTGTGCTGGAAATGATGCGGTGTGACTTCTGAAGCTGGGTCATAAGAAGATTTGTAGCTTTTACCCCGGTTTCTTGAAATGCTTATTTGGGACATTCCAGATGTCATATAAGAAGTCTAATTACTTGAAACCACCATGCTATGAGAAACCCAAACAAGCTATAGAGAAGGAAGGGAGGGAAGAAATAGGGAGACTGAGAGAAAAAGAGATCAGCAGCTCAAGTGCCAGACAAGTGAGTGAAGGAGCCATCTTGGACATTCCAGACCCACAAGATACCATGTGCAGAAGAACTGAAGCCCCAGATCTGTGGCTCCAGGAAAACCATGCCTGATATCTCCAGCCACTTGGGCCACCTCAGCTGAAGCCTGAGACACTGTGGAGCAGAGACAAACTGTCCCTATTGCACCCTGCATGAATTCTGACCTTAGAATTGTAAGCACAATAAAATGGTTATTGTTTATGCCACTACATTTTGGGGTGGTTTGTTAGGTCTCAGAAAACCAGAACAGCCCTCATGATATTTCCACAATGCAGATCTTACCATGGTATACTCATCTTGCTTAAAACCCTTTAGAGGCTCTGCATCACTATGATAAAGTTAATTTTCTTTAATACAGCTGAGAAGATATTTTATTATGCCATCTTCCCGCTTTATCTCCTACCATTCTCCCAAACATATTCTAAACTCCAATCACACTGAACGAACTGAATGCAATTATTTTTTCACACCTCTTTACATGTGCATACTCTGTTCCCTCTATCTGGAATGCCCTTCCCATTCCCAGCCATGCCTACTTCCCTGGCAAACTAATATTAATTTTTAAAGACTTGGACCATATATCTGAACCAAGCTGAACTACCATCCCCACCCATTGCCACATTAAATGCTCCTACAATACCCCTTACAGCATTCTGTAATCATTTATTTACTTCACTGGTTATCCCACTAGTGTATGAGTAAAGAATTCTATCGTGTTATTCTTCTCATATCTAGGACCCCATGGGAGTGTCTGGTACATTGTAGGCACTCAATATACGTCCATTAAAGGTGAATAGCAATGCCATCCTCCTCTGTATTCCTAGAGTACTAAAATTATATATCTCATAAACACTGTCACATATTTTCTCTTATAGTATATATTAGAGTAACTGTCTTTTTATTCCCAGGTGGCATGAATATCCTTGAGAAATAGAATCAGAGTTTTATACAACTTTAAATGCAAAGCACACAAAGGAGAAACTCAGGTTTCATTCCCTTTCAGCACATTTCCTCTTTTCACAAACTTTTGTACCCTGATTCCCATGTGCTACGAAACCACCCAAAGAAAAAAAGCTCACTAAGAGAAGCTTCTCTCTCCAACTACATGAAAGGTGCAGGTAGCTGACAAAGGCAACAAAAAATGTGGCGAGACAGAAGGCTATAACCAGAAGCAGCTGCTACACAGTGCTCTGAAAAGAAGGAAAGAAACGCTGGTAGGGGTGAGATGTAAGTCACAAAGAACCAACCTAAAGGAATACTACAATCAAGGACGTTCAGTCTGGAACTAGCAAAACTTTGCCACCCTAGGTAAAATCTTTCAACTCAGAAGATGGTGAAAATAGTGAGAAATACTGTGTTTAGATCGCAATTTTTACAGGTATCTAATTGTAGGAAGAAACCTGTTTTCCAAGAGGCACTTGCTTCAGATAGTTTAATGTTTGCAAGCTCTTGCTGTGGATTCAAGTACAAAACTCTAATATCTAACAATTTAGTGACTCCCAAGAAGAGAAGAAACAGAGTAATTTACAAAAACAATCAACAAGTCGACTAGCTAAGTTTTTTAACTTCCAGATCAAAGTTAAAAAACGAAGCAAAATAAAAAAAGAAGTATACTGTATCACTGTACACTGGGAAAAGAAAAATATACTTACCTTCTCTTCAGAGGAAATGGTAAGTTTGTCACTTGAGATTAAGCTACACACTTGTTCAATGCCAAGATTGAGAAATTCTTCACTAAGTACAACATCCGCAAAATGTTGCTCTGTTAGGGGATTAAAAAGAAAATCCATTAACATCGACTTTCCGTTACCATATGTTCAAACTACTTAAAAAAGAGGTGTTTCTTAACTCAATCCAACCTAGGAATGAGAAAACCAACCATACTTCTTCTAGGCAAGAACCTATAAGAAAAACCTGAACAAACTCAGAGATGCTTGGGGAAGTATCTCAAGTGATTTGTTTATACTATAGCAAAGAAGCAGCACAGGTAGGAAAGTACACTTACTTAATGTACACCCACTTACGTAAATCACTTCTGTTTTATTCATTATATGATGATGACATTATCAGTACTTAAATTTGTAAAACCTTCTGATCACATAAATCAGATAGGTCACATGGTGATATACATTCACATACTTGAATGTATTACCTAAAATATTAGAGGGCTATAAAATATTACAGAGTAAGGAAGAAAACACTGCTTCATTTAAAAACTAAACTAAACAAAGAAAATTTAAATGCTGGTCAATCTGAAAACATGACCTAAAACATGACTTAAAAAAGGAAACAGAATAGGTTTATGATATAGATAGCTCTGAATTCCACATAAGCTTATAACTCATGTAAGTTTATTTGGGCAACAGATAATATGATTTCATACCTTGACCCCTTTCCAGAAACTAGTAAAATTAGCAATTGTTAAAATACTAAAAAAAAAAAACCTTTCTTTGATTTCACAAATATGGGCACTCCTCCCAAAAAAAGGAAAAAACTCTAATAAAATAATTAATGATTTTAAAACTTACAAAGAATTACTTACAAAATAACCTTTCCTGCAAATCTCTCTCTCACTCATAAAGTATGAGCTCACAAGGGAATGTGGTGGGTTTAAGATAGAAAGAGCTCAGTTTGCCGGAGTCTGGGTCTCAGGCCACGCCCCTAAATTTCAAACCACTCCCCATAGTCTCAGGCCCCTCCTCTGGGCCCTGAGTTACTGTTGCACGTTGCACCTATTTTTAGCACCAATACAGGAAGATTGAGACTGCAGGGGGCAAGTTTGACCAATTTCAGGAATCAAGCATGCTCAGTAAAAAGGAGTCTGTCCTTGAATAACCTTCCACTGGAGGTGCTAGAGAGCACCAAGTATATTTTAAGTATACTTGGTGTATATGCTGTAATTTGACCACTGAGCACTGAGCATGCTCCAAAAGAAACAGAGCACACACAAGGCTGGAGTTACATAAGGGTTACATAACCAGAAACCACTGCTCTACTTAAATATTCATAGACAACATGAATATGTATAGGTAGCCAACTATAACAACTCGACTCCATGACAAAACAGGGCTGCTGCTCACTCTCAAGCCAGCCGTCACTTTGCCTGTGAAGTGTGTATTTCCTACTCGTTCTATTCAACTTGGTTTCACTTTCTACTCTGACTCTGCTTTTGAATTCTTTCCTGTGGCAGAGTCAAGAACCAGGTAGAGAACAGGGTTGAGTTCAGCTATCTGACCTCCCCGGACCCTCTCCTCCAGTAACAGTTTGGGTGTTGGAGTCAGACATATGAGGCTTGAATCCCAGCTCTGCCACATGCAAGTTAGTACAACCTTGGGCAATTATGTAATTTCTATAAGTGTTGGTTTCTTCATCCGTAAAATGAGAATAATAAAAATACCTTCCCTGATACCTAAACATCATGCCTGCTGTGAGGATTAAATAAACTAATGGTTTAGGAAGTACCTATAACTAATAACCTTCAACTAAAATAAAGCAAAACTTGTCATTTGAAAGGGAAAAAGTTTAATTCTGTATTTGTTAAGAGAAAAACAGCTGATATCAAACTTTTAAGGGTCAAAGGAACGGTACAAAGTTGTTATATAAAACCCAAAACACATATCTAAAGGGAATCTCTTGGTAATTTAAGAAAGAACTGCTTTGGGTGAGATAAGACCACAAATTGTAGTCAATTTATGTGAGACACTTTCCATAAGGCAAGCTACTTCTCTAACACATATTTTAAAAAATCATGGCCTCCTAACAATATCATTTTATGAATGAATCAGTCAGTAAACTCTTGGGTCTGTTTTTTTTTAAACTGTTAAAAATAATATGAATCTGATATGACTAATAGTGGCAATTCTCAATTTTAAGATTCCTATATATGTATTCAAATTTCTAGGTACCAAAAAGCAACTGAAAACCAGTTTGGACAGAAACTGGCTCACAGGAACTCTGTGGGAAGAGAAGCAACAATGTCAGTGCTTCCCACCTGTTACTTTACCTGCACTTGATGCAAATCACTGTTTGTCTCTTTGATACTTAGTCTGTAACGTTAAAAGCTCTTATATTATCACCACTACTAATAAAAATGATATAACATGTGCATTTCCTCCCTGGACTCAAGCCACAAAACCATGAAGACCAAAGTTAAAAAAACAAAACAAAACAAAAACAAAACCATACTATGAAACCGTGTGCCGTTTATAATGCTGTAGGAGTACAAATCAGTACAAGCTCTACAGAGAGCACTTCTGAAATCTCATCCTGGACAGATACTTGGCCACTTATGAAATGACACACCCTTAAGTTATTCACGGCAGCACTGTTTTTAGTAATTACAAATGAGAGTTCATCGGTAGGCATTAGTTAAAATGCAGTACATCTGCACAATGGAATATTCCGCCAAGTTCGAAAACATAACAAGGAAGCTCATGATTTGATAAAGCTTTAGGAAATAATGCCAACTTTTAAAAAAGGCACAGAACAGTATATATAGCATGTTAGTTACTTTCTGTGTAAGAAGGGGGAGAGAGAAGACTTTATACACTAGAAAGATATAAAAGTAACTAATAAAAAGTTACCTATAGAGGGCATTAAGGAGGGAAGTAGGAGAAGAGTGGAAACAAATTTTTTCAGTGGAGAGCTTTTTATATTGTTTGTTATATATTGTAATGTGAATGAATTACCTAGCCTCCCCCCCCCACCCAAAAAACAAAACAAAATCCAGAAACTAGCCATAGTGATTACCTTTAGGAGGAGAGAAATAAGGAAGGGTGAAAGGAAGAGTTTATCAATATATACCTTCAAATATTTTTAAGCCCTCACACATATATGGCAAAAATGATCTTTGACAAGGGTGCCAAGACCACTAAATAGGGAGAAGACAGTCTCTTCAACAAATGATGCTGGGAAAATTGAATTTCCACATGGAAAAGAATTTTTCCTGTTGGAAAAATAAAATAGTTTAGTCAGGTCCCTAACCTCAGGGCCGGCCGGGGGTGGTCCAGTGTACAGGGCGTATGCGGGTGGGTGGAGTTGGTACGCAAGCACGGTGCCGCCACCTGGCTAGCGACTGACTCAGGCAGATGTCGCTTCGCACAGCCATGCTTTCCAACTTCCAAGGACCTGTCTGCCAGTTACCTAGCTCATATACCTGCATGTGAGGGGGCTGATGACCCAGCCTGGCATGTGAGGGGTCTGGGGACCCAGTCTGGCATGTGAAGGGTTTGTGACCCAGTCTGGACAAAGGGCCTGAGGTGTCTGTGAGCTCCAGACCCAGCCCTAGCTCGACAATTGGCCCAGTCGGCAGGATTACGGGCAGGTAAAAGTAGCTTTACAATACCATATTCAAAAATTAATTCAAAATGGATTAAGAATCTAAATGTAAGACCAAAAACTATAAAACTCCTGGAAGTAAACATAGGAGAAAAGCTTCATAACATTAGTTTTGGCAATGATTTCTTGTACATGACACCAAAAGCACAGGCAACAGAAGAAAAAAGAGACGAGACTACAACAAACTTAAAAGTTTTGTGTATCAAAGGACATAATATAGCGAAAAGGCAACCTGTGAAATGGAAGAAAATATTTGCAAATCACATATATGATAAGGAGTTAATATCCAGAATATAAAAATAAAATCAAATAACCCAATTAAAAAATGAGCAAAAGGCTTCAATAGACATTTCTCCAAAGATGATATACAAATAGCCAATAAGCATATGAAAAGATACATCACTAATCATCAGAGAGTGCAAATCAAAACCACAATAAGATATCACCTCACACCCATTAGGATGGCTACTATAAAACAAACAAACCAGAAAATAACAAATACTGACAGATGTGGAAAAACTGGCATCCTTTTGCACTGTGGTGGGATTGTAAAATGGTGAGACTACTATAAAAAACAGTATGATGCTTCCTCAAAAAATTAAAAGTAGAACTAGCATATGATCCAGAAATCCTGCTTCTGGGTATATGTGGGTATATATCCAAAAGAATTGAAAGCAGGGTTTTCAAGAGTTATTTGCATACCCATGTTCAAGGCAGCATTATTCACAATAGCCAAGAGGTGGAAGCAACCCGAATATCTATTGATGAATAAACAGATAAATGAAATTGGTGTGTGTATGTGGATATATGTATGTGTGTATGCACACACACACACACACAATGGAATATTATTCAACCTTAAAAAGGAAGGAAATCCTGTTATATGTTACATCATGGATGAAGCTTGAAGATATTATGCTAAGTGTAGCAAGCTAGTCACAAAAAGACAAATACTATATGATTCTACTAATATGCAGTATCTAAAGGAATCAAATTCATAGAAACATAAAGTAGAATAATATTTGGTGGAAAGGGAGAGATGTTGTTTAAAGGGTACAAAGTTTCATTTTGCAAGATGAAAAAGTTCTGGAGATCTGCTTCACAACAATGTGAATACTATGTGTAACAGTACTGAATCGTACACTTAAAAATGAATAAGGTGGTAAATCTTATGTGTTTTTTACCAAAATTTAAAAAAATAAAAAACCACAAGAAAACATTAGTGATTAAAATTAAAACAAACAACTAGGCCCAACTGGTTTCCTTGCCCCGTGAGAAAGCAAACGTGGCTGCAGAGAGTCCATGCATTTTATTGTCTTTACTTCAGGTGACAAGTATCTGCTATGCTAAAAAAGAAAAATCACTGGTCTACACCCTCACGTTTGGCCACTGTACTGTGCGGGTCTTCATACCAAACTTCCTGAA